GAGCTGTATTCGGCAAGAGAAGATGGATTTTATACACACCGTTCAGCATCCAATACAACAGCTCGATGGAGGGAAAGTTGTGCAAGTCCTCATTTTTGGTTTCCTCAAACAAAGTACCTGTACAATAATTATTGCCACCTAGCAGTTGGCTTGCAATGAATAGAGCAAACTCCAGCGTCTGGTGCCTGTCACGAATTATATCCATGGAGTGTCCTGATTGGGGTGATTTGATCATCTGGGAGTCCGTAAGAGGAACGAGAGACATCCAGCCAGGCAATTCATGGTCCATGTCGATTCTATCGAGAAACGCAGAACATCTACCATCAAGCATATCAAAGACATCATGGTGCATGTGAGGTGAGAGGTCATTGAACATGAAACCCTCACTTGACAGTTCGGCAGAGACTTGTCTTGAGCGTCGGCCTACAATCGATGACTGAGCAACAAGAGTCCCATTTCTTGGACCGTTGACCCCCCTACTTCGCTTCTGAACTGCTTCTCGCTTGGAAAGCCGTTTCATGCCTCGGGTTCGAGTGCAAGCGGTCAATTGATCCTGGCAATTTCCGCATGGGTCTTCCTTATCGCACCGAACCTGATACCATGTTACTAAGACTATTCATCGTGGGAATGAAGAAAACATCTCCATGTTATCTGAGATGCTAATTTGTACCTTTCGGGCATGACATGCATCACACTGTGGGATATGAGTTAAACCAAGTCTATTTCAATCTTAGGGAGGGGTTACACACCACACGACGCCGCAGCATTGTGAGAGATAAACGTGGTCGCTGTCCCACTATGAAGTACAGTATGCAAGGCCTCTACGGTGACAATTATAAATTACCATCCAACTGCCATCTCAAGCCATGAGTGCGGGTGGAAGCGCTCGCTCGAGCCAAGAAGGCGACAAAAATAAGTTGCCAAGGCCAGGAACATGGCGGAGGGAACTACTGCGCCACTCTAGGATCAGGGCTCGCCAATAGAGTACAAGTATATTAAAGAATACTATTCTTAACCTTTGTCAGTTTATGGTTTTAACTTTCGCTGTTCAGCCAACTGGGTTGCTTTATTTGGCGTAAGGAGTGATTTCCGCTATGTGCAAAAGTCAAGCTCGATAGGGGCGGGTTCCACGGATCCCGAATGCCAAGAAATTGAGTAAAAAATCCTCTGCATTCTTGGTGAGGCCAATTGAATATCTAGTGGTCTACTGCTACGCTGGATAATAGGGCGAAGACAACTACACAGAGTGAATAATAGAGGACTATGTCGCCGGTATACTAATACCAATTATTGGGGCCAGAAAATAGAGCATAAAGTACTGTTCAATATGTTGGCTAGCGCCGAGAGAGACAACACAATAGCCCGGTCTTTCCCAAAAACCAAAGAGTACCCAGAAATCTAAAGACAGATAGGCCCGACGTAGCCCATAGGATAACCTTGAAATACCAAGCCGTACGATCCGTCGACGTAGTCTGGAGGCACATTGTCAGCAAACTTTCGTGACCTAAGATTAGTTGGAATGAACATACCGTCAAGCATAGATTCCTCACACTATCATTGTTGATCAGCAATGCCAGTAAGCCATTGCATAACGTCCACAGTAGCACCAGATTGGTTCGGAAGGTTCTGTATGAGTCCTCCAAATGCACTTCTTTTTTCTCCCTCGGTTCCTGCCAGGGTGAAAGGGCGCGTCGGACAGTTAACTCGAAGTCGAAATCGATTTGGGCCTGTGGTTTGTCATCCTCTTCAACGAAGCTTTTCTGCGTTTCTGATTTCTTAGTCTTTGCGGATGGAAGGGAGGCCGTGTCATCCGAGCCTTTGGTTCCCCATGAAACATCATGCCAATTGCAGAATGCGTAGACGTTAAGAACATTGATTGTCGAAGGCATCCCGAGAAAATACGCCCAGGAAGATGTCAGAAGATGCCAAGGATCGCAATAGAGTATGCTCGCTATGATGTATATTCCGTACGTCGAAACCAGCGCGATTAAGACTAGGCCTGTAGTCGAAGTGAAAAAAGAACCCACGAATCGTCCGGCCCCATCATCGAAATCGAGATCTATATTGCCGCCGGCGAATGCCTTGGCTACAAGGTAAAATGACAGTACGAGGATGTAAAGTTGAACAAGAGCGAAGTAGATAAAGGTTAGAGTATAGGAAGTTTGCGACCTGCAATTTGTTATTAGTCTAAGAACTACATGGCAGGCCCGGAGCACTTACCCTTTAGGTCGATTTCCAAGCGCAAGGAAGAACTGCTGCATTAAGAATGCCAGATATAAAGCCTTAATGATATTATTGACGACAGGTGATGCATCGTTTCCAAATGGCCATCCCTTGTTTTTATTAGTCGCACTTGGAGTTCCAACGATGTCCATGATGACCGAAGTAGTAAGCCAGTACGAAGCTGTCTTGATTAGCGCCAATCGTTTAGCTATACGCAGAAGACGTACCGAGAGAGAACCAAGTCATAGTAAGTTGACAGATGTTATAGACGAGCTGCACATGCAGAAAAATGAGTCGGAGTATATTATGGCCACTCTTGTAGATGCGGTTGAAGTGCATGACCGAATAGAGGCTAGCTGCGAAGGATCCATTCAACCATCGGCGCCTTTGACTAAGAAACTCTGGGGGTGCTGCATTGCTTGCATTAGCTTCGGTGGGTTAAAGTTGAGGGTGGAATATCTTACCTTCTGGAACGTCTGTCTCTCCCTTTGAGGCTTTCACATAACTGAGTGTCCATTTGTATCCCGCCTTTGCAACAAGCTCAAAGCACAGAATTCGATCCTCGGCAAGAAACATATTTTTTTTGAAGATATTCATGCCTTCTATCCCCTTTTTACCAAGTTTCTTTGATAAAGTATGGTCGCCATGGAAATACTGTTCTAACGGTCGACCCATGATAGCACGGTAACGGTAAGCAGAGAATGCTCCCGGGAGAACACTGACGTACCCAATCGCACTCTCCAAAGGTTTGTCCAAAATGTTGGATATTTTGTACTCGAAGTTCTGCGCAGCTACCAAGGGATTGACTAGCTTCTCCCATCGTGGGCCGAGTAGCGCATGGATTTCGCCGCAGGCGCCTCCCAGATTCTTGTTATTGTAGAACGCCTCCCAGAGCGCAAGAAGGGATTTGTGACCCGGCTTCGTTCCTGCGTCAATCAATATACATACTTCCGGGTTTAGAATTCTTCCAAATGCGTTGAATAACCAACGATGTGAGTTAATCTTCTTGCTGTTCTTTTGCTTCAAGCAGAAGATCATCTGTACGGGCGGCAGGTTCTCAGGACTGTCGCTCTGCGGGCGGACTAGCTGCTGGGAAGGAGTTATCGATAGCTGGGTGGTATATTCGAACTAAGTCAATGACTTTAGTCAGCCTTTGACTATGTCTTGTATGTCGGTAGAGGAGGGTACAATACGATATGAGCCACTGTCTCCTTCCCATCGACATCATGTTTCATGATTCCATCCTGATATATGCCGACTGTGGCCAGGACATCAAGAGTGTTCTTATCGCAAGGACCAATGCCATCGAAAACAAGACAGACAACAATTTTTTGCCAAGCAGGTCCTCCCTTGTCCCAAAATTGTGTCTTTTTCAAATTGACGATATCTCGAATATTCTGCATGACTCCCTGAAGAGTCCGAGATGTAAGAACTTTATCTTCGTTATAATAGGTAATTGCGATCAGAATCTCAGTATGTCGATTGAACATGGAAGCCCGCAAATCATAGCCATTGCGTAAGTTGAAATCATCGGGGTCGCAAGTTGCAGCCGTGTCTAGGATACCGTGTCAGCTGGGATTCGAATGAGCAGGCCCCCTTGATTTACATCGTAGGTGAGTAAATTCCTCAGCCGTAACATCACTCGAGTCGCGGTACTTTGCTTCAACCGAGTTGCGAATGGCGCTAGGAACAGGATAGTCGACACTGAGAACGGATCCCTGGACTAGATTGATCCTGCGAGTTGGGTAGCGGCGCAGGCCTGAGCCCGATTTCTGTCGTCGCTGCCAGGATGTCTGACTGGTCACTTCGGACTCACTTTGCTGGTGCGGATCTTCGTAAGGTTTATACTGTATGATAATAGGTGGCCCTTGTGAGCTGGTAGAAGGATGATGGTTGTCAAGTGGCGCAGGTAGCAGCGAGTGAGAGGCGTCATCATTCTCGTTGAACGAATATGAACTGGCCTAGATTAGATTTTAGCCAGTAATTCTTTATGCTGCTTTTGCGGGGAAGCCTACAATGGGAGGCGTTAGCTGGCGAAGTGAGTGGTGGTTACTCTCCAACTCGAATGAGAGAGGGCGTGACGACTGATCGTGGGCATTGTCCATGTTGTTTTGATGTCCAGAGCTTTCAAGAAGATGATCGAGAGAGCGTAGTACGCGTTGAATGAGGCGCGTCTTTTCGACGGCTGGAGATGGACTAACTATGTCCTCCCAGATAATGTCAGCTCTACTACTAGTAGTATACCCCCAACAACTTGAAGTGAATGTCTCAGCAGCAGCACATGTTCTGATTGGATTTGCAGCGCCCCGCCCTTATGCCGAGCCAATTAGCGGCCTCTATCTCAAATTTAAATATAGTCGGGAAACTGGACGAGGCTCCTATCTAAATGTTCAGCAATTTGATTCAGTAACACTTTGCCTTTGGGTAGCGAAAGTCTCAAGACCCAGTTTGGTCCGTGGTTGTTCCTTGCGGGTGAGGGTTGCTAGAAAAAAACGTGAGGTGTACCACTGGAAGACTGCCGGCCATGTTCTCGGCGCGATGATAGCGATACCAAGACCGAGTGCAGATGAAACAATAATTTTCTTATTTATGAATACAGCTATCCCTTCTGTTTTAGTATTGATTGCAGATCTTGCGGCTTCTACATCTACACTTTCCAAAGCAAACCGGCGTGTTCCGCATCATTGAGCATGTGCATGCTGTATCAAGCTCAACCCTCACATCACCATAGCTTCATGCTGTCAAGAGTGACACGGTTGTTTGGATATCCCGCAAATATGGAAGTTGAAATCCAACTCGACGAAAAGGTGCCCTATTACACAAATGAGGACCAGGTGTCCGGTCATGTCGTCCTTCGCAGTGATACCGAACTGGACATCGCCACGATAGCAATCAGTCTATCTGGTCAGGCAACATCGAGGCTAGACTCAGGGAAGCTGAATGAAACACACAAGGCATGTGCTGCCACTACAGCTCTGAATACAAGTAGACTAACCCTACCGAAAAAGCTCTTCCAACGGAATGAACAAATTTTCCCGCCCGTCAACTGTGCCGGATGGTTTACTTCGGGAGGCGTTACGATTCCCCCCGGGAAACACTCGTTTCCATTTTCCATTATGGTATGTTTTAGCATCTGCGCACACATTTGATGAACACAAAATTTAATCTCTTGTAGTTTCCTCATGTCTCCGAATGCTACAAGGGTAGTACTAGAGATGCCGTTCACAAGCGATCAGCAAACCGTCAACTACACCATCTCCTACGAAAGCTTCCGCCGTCCAGTGGAAATTTCAACACTCCTGAGGAGATCAGATATTCTCTGGAAGCTATCATCACGCAGAATGGGCTCATGTACAGAACCCACAGATCCGTTGAGTATACCACCTTGGGCAGCTATAGCCTGTGCTAACAGCATCGAATAGACCCGCCAAATATCCTTCCATCCGGTGTCTGCTATTCCGAAGCCATCACAGAGTGTAGTAGTCCGAAAGACTGTGAAATGCAATACGAAGGCAGCGGAGCTACTATCTCCACCACTAACGTATGAGATCCAAGCCGAACTGGTGAACGGACCGTTTGTTCTGCTAGGACACCCAATAGCACTGAGTGTAAATGTCACCAACATTAATGACGAGAAACCCGATGTATCTCTACGGGACTTCCAATCCATGCTTATTGAAACAACAGATATCAGGGCACATGGGATGATGCAAAGCGCTACCCGCTCGTGGATTATACAGACGATAACAAACTTGGGACAACCATTTTTAAGTGCAATGGCAGCGTCTGGGATGGTCATGACTCTAGACGATGCGGTATGGAGTAGGCATCGTCTACCACATTGCCTGACACCTACATTTGAAACATGCAATGTCACCCGGAGCTACAAGTTGGAGATCAGGCTTGGCATTGAATTCGGGCGAAACAATGTGAGTTATGAAAAGTGCCTCATGGGATTGTGAGCTAACACTGGTTTCAGTCAAGGATATTAGAGTTTCTGTTCCCAGTTCGCGTTTTGTCTCCATTATAGTTCAAAGATAAATATATCAACATCAATGCTCAATTTTTATAACAGCTGGGTTGAATACTTCCATGATGTCCAAAGAGTAGTAGTGCAGGTGCATTTAGTCACTTCTGAAGTTCTCTAGCTTTAGTAAAGCTCTGACTGCAGGCATATAATTTATCTGAGTGAGAAAAGGAATCACAGAATAAGAAGATCTTGATATAAGTACAATTTAAAAAATTCACTACAGAACAATTTAACATCGCAAACTAGCCAGACAATTCCCCTTAACTCCAACCCATAACACCCGTCACAACAAGCCCCAATATACCCAATGCAAGCTTGGTAGAAACCTGACTGCGGCAAGAATATGCCGCATTTCTCTCTGATTCTGTCTCAGAAGCAGCAGAAGAAGTCGAACTTCCTGTCTTACTCGCCCCTTCACTCTTTGTACCTGATGTATCCGTAGCCGTTGCGGTTGGATACGAGGTGACTGTTGCTGTCGCATTGGTGTTTCCTGTGCACCAAACATCCTCCCACGCTACCCCAGCCTTATAAAGACAGTCGGTGAGGTCTTTAACAGATTGATCTATGGCATAACTCCACAGAGCACAATCATGATAGTATGATTGGGAACCGGCGGGCTTCGCACAGTTATCGAGGAGTAATTGGTAGTCTTTGATGTTTGGCACGCCACATGCTGCGTCTTTGACGGGGAGTTCGTATTGGCCGGAGCCGCCGCAGGTGGTTGATGTTGCTGCTGCCGAGGTGGTGGTTGTGGATGTCATTGTGAAAGGTGGTTCAATTGTGAGGAAGTTAGAAAAGGATTTGGATGGTTAGTGCAGTATGCTTATTCCATTCATTCGGGAATTTATATTGGATTATTGGCCCAAGCTCACTGAGGATGGGTCTGGTACTGCCAAGAACGACCAAGAAATGCATGTCTCTTCCCGGCTAAGAATAGCCGGTATAAGCATATCGCCTGAGACATACTCCCAGGAGATGCTGAAAGGTGTGTATGGTTATTGATATGTGACCCACAAGGCAGAACTTGCGTAAATCCACGATGTCGATCATACATGGCTGTTTCTGCTTCAATTCGGTATAGGGAGGCCATCCCGGGATATCGATCAGTATCAGTTACCAGAAGACGGAAAATCATAGATATAAATTGGACGCAACGTCCCTGATATGTGACAAACAAATACACGAGAATTACTTGGTTGAACAAGACTCAAAATATTCAAGAGGCCACTTTCAAAATGCGATTCTCTGCGATCACTATCATCACTCTCATTGGCACTGCCTTTGCCGGCAAGGTCCGCAAATCCCGTTTGGCTCCACGAATATGCGGTGCTAACAGAAATTACAGCTCCCTGCTGGTGCTCCTTGCAAGCAAGATGGAAGTATGGGTGTTTGTGAATCGAACTTGTGTGTGGTATGTGACATCCGTATCTCGAGCAGGCTCGGCTGAAGACTAATTATCATTGTATAGCAAACCCCTAGCCAGGCACAGGGTGTGTGCAAATGATTCACCCTTGTAATACCTAGCATGAGATTAAAGGTCGTGTGAGCATTTGTCGGAAAGTATCGGCCATAGCTAATCGAGCTATGTTTGGTTGATTCCAGAATGTTCGGCATTTATGTTTCTTGTATCTAGTTCCGACCCCGTATTTGCGGGTAAGAGTCGTGCCGTTCGTTAGCAAAATGACACCTTGAGTCATCTAAAAGTTCAATTCCTGTCTTCTGCCCAATAGTCTGAAGAATTAATACGTGACCATCGCGCTGATCTGAGCCGACATGCATAAATCCGAGCCATCCCCCCCCCCCCCCCCTTAGCTCCACATTTCAGCCCCACCCCCGCTGTGACCCCACACGAGGAAGGGGGGCCTCACCGCAGTTCCGCCTTTTCAATAGACTGGAACCTCTTTCTGCCTAGACCTGAGCTCTTGAACATTGAATCCTACGCTTAGGCGAGATTAGCATTGTTTACAGGTGCAAAACACATAGTAATAGTCAGGATGGGCAGCGCTGGAGAACCAGTAAGGCTCCGATCCTCTTCTTCTAGTATGCCACACTAATACTACATACAGATCGTGTGCCATGGCGCATCTGTTCCAGACATAACAACTAAGGGATCAGAATTCGAATCCATCGCTTCCTGGAGAGAGCGAGTTGGTATCAACACCGACGCTCAGATCCGTCTGGTGAAGCTGTCGCATATGCGGTACCAGCATCCGGATCTGGATCAGATTACTGTTTTCCTGAAGGGTTTGTGAATGAATGAGTTCGGACTTAGCAGCACGCTTGCTAATTCACCCAGACTTCGGCATGCAGATTGTCAAGCAAACAGACGACCAGATCTGGTATCGCGGCTATGGACCGGACCCTTATGTTTACTATGCCAGGAAAGGGCCCAAACAGTTCCTGGGGGCTACTTTTGAGGTCGAGTCGTATCAAGATTTGGAGAAGTAAGCAATCCCCGTGTCTGCTATCTTATTTCAGTATGCTAAATTAAGCAGGGCACTGCAACTTCCGAACGCCAGTGGAATCAAAGAACTGGTCGACCATCCCGGCGGTGGTCACTTGGTCAGCTTCACTGATCCGGAAGGATACCTTGTCAACCTGATCCATGGACAGACACCACGGGAGGTAGGAGAGTATCCAGAAAGGTTGGTTGTCAATTACGAGGCAGACAAACCCCGTCTGCGTAAATTTCACCGATTCAATGTCGGACCGGCACCCGTGCACAAGGTATGAGGCATCCCAACTAGCAAATCCATCGTCTAACAGAAAATAGCTTGGTCACTTTGGATACTGCGTACAGAATTTCCCGACAATGCTCGACTTCTACACCCGGAACTTCAACCTCGTCCCGAGTGACTTCCTCTACGTGGAAAAGGACGGCCAGAAAGTGAACGTAGCAGTCTTTGCCCACATCGATCGGGGAAGCGATCCCGTTGACCACCACTCCTTTTTCATGAGCACGAACGAGACCTCTCATGTGCACCACTGCTCCTTCGAAGTTCACGACTTCGATACCCAGCAATTAGGACACTACTGGCTGGCCGGGAAGGGTTACAAGTCGGTGTGGGGAGTGGGACGGCATATCCTCGGTTCGCAGATCTTCGACTACTGGTGGGACACCACTGGTAATATGGTCGAGCATTATGCAGACGGAGACTTGGTGACTGACGAGACTCCAATTGGGTACGGTCCCGCTGGAGATGAGTCGTTAGCAGTTTGGGGACCCGATGTGCCGCCTACGTTTTTGAAATGATTGTATGACAATTTAGCTCTTCGTAATGTGCCATAGCTTATACTCCACGCAAGTCTTGTTTCTAATGACGACTTCGCTAGTCGCTTTCTATACCTGGCATTATAATGGATGCAAATACTTGGGTCAGCCTATTCCCCCCCTCTCCCAGCTCTTATCGCAGCAATGATCAGCACCAGATCTTACCCCACATTTCATAAACCATTATAATTGGTGATCGCATTCCATCAAGTCATCTTCTGACGGAGTATCTCACTGTCAGCCGCTTTTTCGGCAATGCGGAAAAGATCCCACATCTCAAGCAGCCCCGCAAAGCTACAATGTGGGACCAACCCCTCATACAAAACCACAAGAATCAACCAAGATATACATCCAGTATACTCGACCAACAATCTGTACACCCAGCACCTCAAAGTAAAACCTCAATCATGTCCTGGACACACCTCATCCGCTTCATCGCCGTGGAAGACAGCCAAACCCACCTCGGCCAACTCGTCGACCCCACCCGCGATATCGGCGAAGACAGCGTCAATGGCATCGACATCGCAGCCTACCTAATCAACGGCGACATCTTCAATGGCCGCGTAACCAGCCAGATAATGCACGTTAAACAGGCACGTCACCCCTTCCCCTTCCCATACGAACATGATCTAACACCACCAAACTAGCTCCTCTCCCCCCTTCCCCCCTCAACATGCACCTACATCCGCTGCCTAGGCCTCAACTACACCGACCACGCCAAAGAAGCGAACCTCTCCCTCCCCACCGCACCAACCATCTTCTCGAAGCCCCGAACAGCCCTAAACGGCCCGTACCCGGCCACAATCAACGTCCCGAAATGCGCCCAGGATGGAACAAGCGACTACGAAGCGGAGCTGTGTTTCGTCATCGGAAAGACGGGTCGCGATATCCCTGAATCAGAGGCACTAGATTACGTCCTGGGGTATACGGCGTCGAATGATGTCTCTGCGCGGGGGTTGCAGTTTGTTACTTCGCAATGGGGGTTCTCAAAGGGGTTGGATGGGAGTTGTCCGATTGGTATTCATCCCCTAAGTTATTTCTTCCATAGGTTGTGGTTGGGTATTGTGATGGGTGGCTAATGATATATTTATCTGTGATTAGGGCCTGTTCTGGTCTCGACCTCTGCGATCGCGGATCCCCAGACTCTGTCTGTCCAGGCTATTCATAACGGTGTAGTATGTCAGGATGGACACACGGAGAATATGATTTTCTCGGTGAAGAAGACGATCGCGTACCTGTCACAAGGTACGACGTTGGAGGCCGGGACTATTATTCTTACTGGGACGCCGGCGGGAATTGGGTTCTTTAAAGAGCCGAGGGTGGTGTTGCGCGATGGGGATGATATTCGGGTTAGGATTGGGGGTGTTGGGACGCTGGTAAATAAGGTTAGATATGAGTAGGCTCATCACAAGATGTTATTAGGCCGGTGGGAAGTGGAATAAATGGAGAGTGAATACTAGTACACGATTCATGAAGAGCAAGATAGTGTGTGTGGCAGAATGCAGAGTTATGTGGTGCTACTCCAAACTAGGAGTGGTGGCTAGCTAGCTCATTGCGAATACGCACGCTAACGTTATTTGTGATAGTCCACATTACTCCAGCTGCCTTCTAGTCCCTTCCCCAATCACGGCACAAAACTCCACCAATCAAAAGTTGCTTCGAAATGAATTGAGCAGTGATTAACTAACCACAATTAGCTATATACTCCATATTACATATATACAGATCCACAACACTATATACGACCCTTCTCAAACCAGCTAATAACCTTAACATAAGTTTAGTTAATGTAGCTAGTATCAACCCAATCCTCCCAGTCAGATCCGAGAAGCCAAGAGATAGTGATGGGCTCAGTCAGCTCAGAAGAGAAGCTAGCACGGGGACCCTTAGCGCCAGTACCGGTGTTGCCGTATTCAACGAAGGTGACGTTCTCGGTGTTGGGGGTGGAGGTCGACCACTCAGTCCAGCCGAGGTGGTTGATCACATCGGTCATGGAGGTCTTCTGGAAGCAAACGCGAGCGTACTGGGACCAGGGGCGGCCTATTATATTTGGTTAGTAAGCTGGTAGCTTTTTGAGCGAATACAGGCTAGTGGCATACCGAGGTAGTAGGTGCCGGACGAAACATCGTTGCCATCAGCAGCAGCGACGGTGGACTTGTGGATCACGTAGTAAGAGTCGTCCGACTCGGAGGAGCGGCCGTTGGCGGTGATGGAGGCGGAGCTGGGGCCCTCGAGGACGCGGATGTCGCACTCGTGGAACCAGGCGCGGGCGTGCTGTCCGAAGATGAAGTCACTGGTGATTATGTTAGCTGGGTTTCCCCTTTTGGAGGTATGATGGGAGACATACACGGCACCCTCGATGTAGGTTCCGGCGTAAACCTGGTAGCCGGTCTGGGCCAGAAGGGTGTCTGTTGTCGGAATTAGCAGGGTTGGTTGGCATATCTGGATTTGGTCCTACCCTGGTATCCGGTGAACTGGCAGGCGTAGTATCCCTGCTCGCTGGCATAGGCGCTCACGGCGAGAGCCTGGTGGCAGGCCTGACCGCAGGTGTTGGCAATGTTAAGGTTGTAGATGGCCGAGCCCTCAGCGTAGTTACGAAGGGTTGCTGCGTATTGTCAGCGAAATTATGGACATCTTCCCGTCTGGTGAACTGACCAGTCTCATCGTCATCGTCGACATCGGCCAACGCGATGGCATGGGTGATGTTGACCAGGTTGCTAGTGTAGGTAGTGGTGCTAAACCCTCATTAGTATCCTTGGCTTTCTATACACAACGGATAACGTACTCCTCAGTTTGACCGTAGACAATCAGCTTTCCACTGAGAGCAGGAATGTACACCTGCTCGTCGTAGGATCCCTCCTCAATGAAGATGGTCTGGGTCTCGGTCGAAGTAGTGCTCAGAGCATCAACAGCAGCGCTGATCTGTCCAAGCAAACACTATCAGCCACACATCTGCAACATGCGATCGACAATCGAGAGGCTTACCGTGTCGTAGTCACCTCCGGACTTGGCAACGACAATCGCACCGGAAGGAGCCGTCATGCGGCTCGCGGCCAGCGCGGTCGCTGCAAAGAGAACGGATGCAAGAATTGACTTAACCATGATTGCTGTTTAAAGATCGACTGATCGGCGATTTTAACTTTGCTGCTGATGGAGGAACCAGAGAACGCTGCGAGACCTCGTTCTTATAGGAACCGCATGCCATCCACTCATCATGAGCTCTTGTTATCGGTCAGTATTTGCCTCATATGGTTCAGGACCTCCGTGTGGAGACGCCGGCGGGGTTCTGTCACAGCTTGAACAACCATATCTGAGGAAAACTAGGAGGAGTGAGGCAATTGGGCCGGCCGTTGACAAAGTGGAGGCGTTCAAAGAAGCTTCTTAGGGCTAGTGGAACCGGGTCTTCCACCAATTGCCTTGACGCTGGAAATTCTTAATTTATGGGCAATAGATATGATCGAATGACAGAAGACCCTGGACCTATATCAAAACATCATTATCAGCCTAGATGATTTCGCGGCTTGGCAGGAACAAATGAACGCTGAATTTCGCCAAGCTCCAAGCTCTGAGACAGGGGCTTCTTGGCAGTCCCATTCCCATTCCTGAATCCCTGGGCTGCCGGATCCCAGAATCGCGTTCCATTGTTTGGGCCCTGTGGGGTGCGCGACGGACCAAAACCCCTATACTGTACGTAATTGCAGTTGCGCTCAACCGTCTCCGTTCTGTGCGTGCAAAAATTCGACCACATGATGGCCTGAATTTTACACGGTAGAGAGCGGCCAATTTGCTCCCGTTGATTGGCCGAACTAAGCAACTGCAGCTGACATTCGCACATCGTTATCTCCTGTATTGACACTCAATGGACGGAAGGAGTGGATGAAACCGCACGGTCTTTCTTGGTAGCCCGTTACGGAAAGAGGGTCGCCAATCCTTTGGAAGCTTTCCGTTCGGATGACCGCATCCTCTTCTATTTCCCCTCTTGAGTCGCGAATGGTTCCCCTCTTTTCGCCATCCACCCGCGTCGGTGTGGTTATTGGTGGGATCTTAAAATCACGAAACACCCCCTTCTCGGAAGAACTCTGCCGTACATGCTTCCCGGCGAACCAAGCTTCGTGGTCGAACCTTAGCAGAACTGAATATACGGTATGGAATATATCAAATAAGGATGACCGTCGGAGTTCGGAAGCATTTATGAAGCTTGCTCTGATTGCGTGTCACGCCAAGCTACTGCAGCACTCTTCGGCGATAATCCGGTAGACTGGGTGGAGTCTGTTCCTTCGTATTCGTTGGGTGCCCATAACGGTGCAGTGGTTTAGAAGAGGCTTGAGCCTAGAAGAAGTTAATTTGGAGGTGGAAATTCATGTTGATTATGCAGCGCTCACTGATCCGTTTGATCGGTGTGGTGTCGCTGTCGGGACCTCGATCCCGGGCTTGTGAGCATCCTGTCAGGTAAGCCAGCAGTTGCTTCAAGCCTCACTTTCCAGCAGGAAAAATCTTTAAACCACAGAAGATATAAATTGTGTAAATTGGTAGAGTGGTTGCTGGACCGTATTTCACAACCTTCCCCTCTTGGCAATACCGATATCGGTATTACGATTGCCGACATAATATATATTGCGTGACGAGTAAGCGCAGTGAAGGACGCATTAGCTCAATTTGCTGATAAGCCACCACAAAATTTGCCGAGGCTTACCATATCGTAAGGAGCTACTTAGTACCTTTTGAGTATATTAACAAGCATTGGAGTTCAGGGGTATCTGACAAGTGCCCGAGAAAAAGCAGTGGACTTGATGCTGCAGCGCAGACGAACTTGAGTGAAGATGTCGTTCCAAAATCCAAATAGGGATTGAGTTGCGAGCAGCATCTGACCAAGGGTGTTTGTAGACCGTCAAATCGGGGCTCTGAAATGATGAAGATACATGGCTTGAAAAAAACAAGCCTAATTACTACAATACGGCAGAGTTCTTTGATTCGAGTGCAGAAAGATCACAACCCCTGCATTTTCCCGCCCACAGTCTAAGTTGGTGCCTTTGTGCATTACTGCTGAAATGGATGAATGGGGCCCAATTTTTCTGCAACAAAGGTATATTGTTCGAACACAAATGGGCTGCTCTGTACGTTCCATCACTTCACATGGCGAGGAAAGATACTTCAGTATAGAACGCGAGGTATATACCTTTTTGAACATAATTTTCGCCCATAATATTGTCAATGCTTTATAGCTGATATCAAGTCCTTCTAGAACCCCAAAACCTTCCCTCAATCGAACTTTCCACCATGCCTCGCTTGATTAGTACGGTATTTCTTGCCCACCGTAGCTTTCGCCTTCCTTGAGCAGGTGAAGCTGGCCAAGGGCTCGAAAATAAAATGCCAGACTCCCGATAACCCACCTTTTTGTGGATGAACTTCTGTTCGTAAGATTCTATTATCGACTTTCCTCGAACATTAATTGATATTTCTGCTGCCACTTATGACATGACCTAGGCACTATTACCGTATTGAACGACACGTTATTTCATGTGAGTGCCGACAGAGTGTTAACGTTGCTGTCGACAAGGATAATCGTGGGAGTGGATGGCTGATGGATTTTTTTTCCTGATACAGCCTTTCCTGGTGAGAATTCCGGTTCCTCAGACTCTTCATCTCCCAAATGCCTTCATGTCAGCTTGTCAGATGTTGGCCATTACCCCGACCCGCTCGTCCGTGTTATATCAAGTGTCATGACTTGCAGTATTTGCCTGGATGCCGTCGGTTGATAATATCCTGATTTCTCGTTATGGTGTACTATGACCCACAGGGAGATTCAGAGGACCAATAGCTATGCCGTGGGCTGTGCTTCACTTAATCACGTACTTGAGGCCATCCTCCACCCACTTGTGTTGGGCCGTGCCAGGGACTTGATAGGACACGCGATTGTGGACACTGCCGTTGCGGAGCAGATGCATCTCAAAATGGCGAGTGGCTTGGGCCGACACCATGACATGCCTTGTATCCGACCTAAATTCTTGAATCAAGGCAAAAATAGACACAAATACGTTGGTTCGTCGACCATCCCTTGAGTAAGGCCGTTGGTGAATCCAAAGATAATGGGTAGCTCATTCACTTTGGTCATGAATCTGGTGTGCATCTTCTAGTCGTTTAAAGCAAGTCAACTACATGCCGAGGATGTTAATCGCTCGCATTGCCATGCTTCCAATCATCCTCCAGAAATCCTGCAGCTCCTGCCTGGGTTTCTTGAAAGGAGCGTGATGCATACTTTAAAGTATTTGGGTCCCAGACACTAACATGCTATATATTATAGTGCACTCGTCTTATGAACCTACTTCTCGTTCATACGGACGATATAATGATAGAAATGAGTGTTGAGTAGGAGTGGAAATTGCGTGTGGACAAGCTTATC